TTTAGCTGGTAGGGAGAATTTCTCTCGACAAACTTGGCTTGCCCCAGCTTTACAATGAAAGACCACTTTATTCCTGCTAGGAAGTTATTGTAGGATCCAGTAACCACAGAATAGGAAGATCATTTTCACTCCGATGGGATTAAAACTGAACTCCATAGTCCACAGCACTAAAAAACAAAAACAAACCAAAAAACGAATAGGTAAACAGACAGAGGGAACTAGAAATAGTTGATCTGAAGCTTTGACTTCTCCAGGGGTTCCTTCCTATTCCTGCCCCTGGAAAACATAACAGAGCTACTATATTTCTTACCAAGTTCAGAAACCAAAATTCAAGAGTAGGGGAACTTGGTAAAAATAGAAAGAATCTTTAATTAGAGGCGGAGAGTGCAGAAGGACAGCTGGCAGCTTAGAAAGGGCTTTGGGGAAATACTCAAAATAGGCCAACTCACGTTTACTGGCCAGGGTTCTAGTCTCTGTTTAGGTGGAGTTTAAGCTGACTTTGTTTTAAATGGGCCACATTATCAGCTTTTGGCCTGAGATTTCTACTTTTATCTTTTAGGCATCAGATGGTTCACTCAGATTGGTCAATGACCAACAGTCACACCTGTTTTGAAAAGACCTCTTGGTCTACTTTAGCTGTTGCTATGTAGATAGTTACTGTGATAACTTCTAAAGGCTTTCACCTTTAAACGAAATCAGTTTTAATCACCATTAAATCAGCTCTTGTCACTTGTCCAAATTAATATTTCCCAAATTTCATTCACATACTATATTCATAATGTTCATCTAATCAGAGAAACGTGTATGCTATTCCTTAATACATATTTTAATTGCCTCATTTTTCTTAACTACCTACTTTCACCTCATCCTAAGCTGTAGTAATATCCATGAAATTTGGGCTTTGATGTGCTACTTACCTAGTTTCCCAATCCACAGGAAATAATTACTTGAATTTAAAATATTCATCTCTTTACATCCGAATCGTCTTACGTACCATATGGCTTTCAAGTATTTCTTCCTGTGCATCATTAAGGTAAAGAAACCCATGATGCATGTTTCCAGTAGCTTTTTATTTCCACTGGTCACGAGAAGAAATCCTCAGTAGTGCTTAAGGCGGGAGATACATCACCTCCGTGCACACCCTGCTCACACTGTGTCACCTCCAAGGTACTGTGACAGTGACACGCAGAATGCCCTGCCGCTTTCTGGAATAACTTTGACCCGCACCCCGAACGTTTTCTTTCACACCTCGAGTTGATGTGCTCCCTCACGTTTGCTGCTGGCATTGCAAAAGCTGTGACGTGCACGGCCACGGGCAGCCTCTTATCTCTTTCTCTCCCTTCTCACAGGTTTACCTTCCTCTCCCGAGATAAGAAGCGTCTGGTCAACACGCAGAGAAACGTGCGCATCCACGAGTCCTTTGGCCAGTGGGCCAACTGCCACCGCGACGACGGTTACACGGAGCAAGGACAGGAGGCCCTGCAGCACCTGTGACCGTGACCCGCCTCTGTCCTTGGACCTGAACCACCAGCGCCTGCAACAGAACCTGGCCGCCTTGGGTGTCACACCCTCAAACCTGATCCCTCCAACAAACTGTCTGCTTTGAGGCAGCACGTCAAAAAACTGAGGCCAAACTCTAAAGAAACGTTTATTTATAGCAGGGCTATCACCGTTTCTAATAGATGACTCTGATCCCTTAGGATATATATTTAATAAGACCACGAGCGGAAGCTGACTTTTGCATTAACTTCAGTAACGCAAGCTTCGCCAGATACATCACATGCCGCTATAACTGCTGTTTGACTTGCTTTGTATGAAATTATTTGTGTAGAGGTTTTATGATCACATTTGTCATACTTAAATGGGAGGCAGGGAAGTGGTAGGTTTTCATTAGTTACGTTCATGACATTGTCATGGTGGTAGCATAATATATAGGACGCATCGACTAGACAGGCAGGGCCTCCAAAGTCACAGGGTGAGCTGGCCCAGCTTAGGCACAAAGCAAACAGAAAATAGGGAGGACAGTCCTCCCGCCCAGAAACTGGAGACAAGTTTGCAAGAGCCTGTGGTTCTCTATTGCACCTTGTTACTGATAATGCCTAGAGCATGTAGCAATGTTCAAGGCCAGTGCCTTGGAATCTGCTGTGAGTTATGCAGTACTAACCAAACAAAGTTGCTAAGGATGAGACATTGCAACATTTCTTGTGTGGATTCTTTTTTTCTTGGCATCTTGTTTCAGCATTCACTGTGTCAAATACTTAGTCCCCTGCGAAGAAGACAAATGTCCCAAAGCGGATTGAGTGTGATGTGCGGAACCCTAGGGGATGCCACGTGGTGGGTAGGGTAGACTTGCCAAAGCAATGGCGGGGGCTGAAAAGATGGCTTGGGGACCAAATGTCTGGCTGACTCATGGGGCTGCAGTGGAGATGGAGAGCCACATGCCCTGTCTGCAACTGGCAAGTCGGGGGGTTACCCAAATAATGTTTTCTCTCCACTCACGAAGCACCCAGAGTGCAAGACTGGGGGTGCTCACGGATTGAGAGAGGTACCATTTCCTAACAGGGCACTCAAGTACATCTGACTGGGCTGCTTTCTACACATTTTACAGTGGTTTGCTAAGAAACCATCAAGTCGGTTTATAGAATCTACATGAACTCCGTTTCCAGATCGCTGAGAAAAATGACCAGACACGATAATGTTGGTTTAGAGCAGTGGTTCTCCAACCTGACTGCCCACTAGAACTATTAGAGTTTATTCTCAGAGAGTATAAAAGCATGTGTGCTGAGGAATCCCCCTCCCTGCATCACCTTTGGCTGTCTTCCCCCTGGGGTGACCAGTGTTGGTAGTTTCCTGGGTGTCTTTCCTGAAGTAATTTATAAATATACATGCAATCATGTAAAGAATACAGATATATTTCTGTTCTCTTTTTACATAAATGGCAGCGTGTTATACACATGCTATCCCATACCTTTCTTTCCTTAGAATACCCTGGACATGACTTCACACCAGTATAAAAGACAGTGGGTCTCAACCAGGGGTGATTTTGGCCCCCAGGGATATTTGGCACTCACTGGAGACGTTTTTGGTTGTCGCAACTGAGCGGGTGCTACTGTCATCCAGTAGGCCCCAGGGATGCTGCTAAATATCCTACAATGCATAGGACGGCACCCGATACCAAAGAATTATCCAGCCCCAAATGTCAATAGTGCCAAGACTGAGGAACCCTGGTCAACCATCAAGTGTAATTTGTTCACGTTTGTCCAGGCCCCAGTGGTGGACAGGTAGCTTCCAATCTTTCTAAAACTGCGCTACACACTTTCACACACGTGCATCAGTCTGCAGAATAAACTAGCAGCAGAATTGCCGGGTCAGAGGGTATCCGCCTTAGCCATGTTGACAACTACAGTCCCTGACCAGGGGGGTTCTACTAATTTTTTTTTTTTTTTAGTTACCAGGGCCATTGTAAGACTAAGCCCCAATGTCCAGGGGTGGGGACTGAATGTGCCTATTTTTTCCATCCATCGGTATTCTGGTACTCGGGGTCGATAACCACCAGCTTAGACTCTGTAAACACTATATAAACACTGCTGCCCCCGTATGTGTTTCTTCTGAAGCTGTCTCACAACTCAGCTTCCCTGATGTGGAGCAGCTTGTTTACCTAATGTACCTACCAACTCTAGCCCATAACACACGTTGTAAATGAAACATGGGTGAAATCATAAAGGTGTTCCTGCAAGGCGGTCTTCTGAGATTTAGGAGAATAGTAACATTCTGCACTGGAAATTTACAAAGGAAAGAGCATATTTTTCTAAAACAGTTCTAACAGCTGACAGCAATTTTACGATATTGCCGGTTCCCTATGTAACAATGAGATTCATACTCCTGATGCAAAAGCCTAGTAATGAATGTGTGAGTCTTGCTACTAAATCAGACATTTACTTTACATGAGACATCCTGAATTTTAAGAACCTGAATTTTCAAAGACACAGCCATGGATAAAAGAAAAATGTTGAATGTCACTTTCTTGAAAAATCACATGAACAGTATGGTACTTATTCAAAGCTCTCAGAAGTTCAGGTCAATATATCCAGTTTCAAACAAACCAGAGGCTGGATGATCAAGAGAGAAAAGGCAAATCAGTCCATCAGAACTAGCTACTAACCCTTGGTTGATTTCATTTTTCACTCTCACTTCTTTTGAACTTTCTCTTTTCCGAGGGCTGGAGGATTGCCACAGACCATAGCCCCAAAGCCCTGCAACTCTGGGTTTTCATTTTAAATGCCAGCCACCCCGCCAAAAAGAGAAAAGGAAAAAAGGTAGTCAGCATTTGGCTCGAGAATGGAGTTATATTTGTTCAAGAGAAGCTGGTTGCTGACCCAGATCACTGCTAAGACTGGCTTTTGGTACTAAGTCTCTGGACATTCTCCTTGGATTCATTTTTCTAACCCATTTTTATTTCACTGCAGCAAACCCTGCACTATGGACATAAAGGTGGAAAACGCACAACTTAGATTCTGACCAGATTTGGGTTCCCAGGAGTCACAGATCAATGCAAGTGGTTTTCGGTCATCACCTCTTTTTGCCAAGCCCTCAAAATGGCCATTTCCAATAGATGGGAGAAAAAGCAAATTCCATACTGCCAAATTAAATGAGTGGTGGCTCTTTACACAGGCCTTTCTGTACAGATGCTGGTGACTGCAAAATTGTTTCTCAAGCTTATCAAATAATGGGTCCTCACAACTATAAGATGAGGGGAATTCCCTGTTGGTCCAATGGTTAGGACTCTGCACTTTCACTAGTGAGGGCGCGGGTTCAATCCCTGGTCAGGGAAGTTAGATCCTGCAAACCGCCCATGAGCCCCAAAAAACAAAAACAAAAACTATAAGATGAAGAAGAGAAAATTCAAAATATCAGCGTGTTCATCTTGAACCTGCATTCCAGAGTCGAAAGAAAACGTACCCAACCCCATTATCATTAGTAAGCTTTTTCTGTTTCGTTTTTGTTTTCATCAGTAAGTTTTATTCAAGCACTGGACTTGGATTCTGCATACAAGCCGTGCAGGTCTCCCTGCACTTTTACTGGGCGGGTACCTCCGTTTGGGTTTGGCAGGGGATGGAGTCTACTTACTTCTGTCCCCCTTCTCCCTCCCCTTGACCCTGTCATCTCTGAAGTCCCTCTCTCTGTCCCAGTCACCTTCTGACCACACCCTAGTTGATTCTTTTTCCTGCCACCTCTTCTCGCGGCCCCTGTCATGGTCCCGATCCCTCATCCTGGAGTCCCAGTGTCTTTCTCGGGATCGAGATCGCTCCCTTCTCTCCCTCTCTCCCTCTCGAAACTGGTCGTTTTTAACAACTGGCAGATTAATGGGTTTTCGGAAAGGCCGATCCCGCCCCCCAAATCTCAGCTGCCCAGATTCCTTTTTCCCCCCCAGGCCTCCTCCAAGTCGCCGAGGAATCCACCCTTTGAGAGTCCTTTCCAGTTCATAGTCCACAAATATCTCCTGTTGGTCAATAACCAGGCCATCGGCGTCCCGGTAAGCTTTGAGCAGAGAACGCTCCTCTTTGTATTCGATGAAGGCGTAGCCCTTCGAAAAGCCCGTGACCAAGTCCCTCACCAGCCGAAGCCGCCGGATGTCCCCATAGCGGGAGAACACTTCCTTTAACTTCTCCTCTTTGGTCAGCAGGTTTAGTCTCGCCACAAACAGGGTGAGGAGGGGGTCTCCTGTGACGCCTTTGTTGGGGGCATATCGTGCCAGCATCGCCCTCCAGACAGCTCGATCATGTGGGTCCTCGTCGGTGCCATCAATGCTGCCAGCTTTAAGCGGGTCATACTCCTTGGCGATGGGCATCCAATCGTTCATGTTCTAAGGAGAAGCACGGCAAGCGTTTATGTAGCATCTACTGTGAGCTATGTATTCAGTCCTTCCAACAACCCCATGAAGTAGATACTGCTTTTCACCCCTTCTTCCAACTGGGAAGGAAGAGGATTTTTCCGACGCTGTGGCCTCCCAGCTAGAAAGCAGGGGAGACAGTATCAGAGCCAGGCAGTGGGGCTCCAGAATGCTCTCACTCACTCCTCCACCGACCCTCCCCGGAAGCAGCAGAGGGCAACGTTCCTGAGTTTGATGCATACGTGTACCATCCAGCTTAGCCACGGTAGGGCACGCACAAACTGTTATAACGTGGCAACACGTATCAAAATCCAGAATCAAAACCCAGGCTCACCTTTCAGAGACTTTAAAATGGTCATAGGGAAACCAGCCTGGGAACTTCTGTGGAAAAGGGCATCTTAAAAAACTCTTTATGGGAGTTCCCTGGCGGTCCAGGGGTTAGGACTCGGCACTTTCACTGCCGGGGCCCGGGTTCAATCCCTGGTTGGGGAACTAGGATCCTGCAAGCCACACGGCTCAGCCAAATATATATATATAAATAATAATAATAATAACATTAATAAAAATTAAAAACTCTTTACTACCAAGAGTTTCAAACACATACCAGTGTAGACAATGGCATAACCTTCCATGAATTTCTCACCCGGCTCCAACCGTGACCAACACCTGGCCTGTCTTATTTCATCTGTGCTCCCCACGTTCCCGCTCCCAGATATTTTTTTTTAATTTTTAAATATTTATTTATTTAGACTGCACTGGGTCTTTAGTTATGGCACGCAGGATCTTCGTTTCGTTATGCAGGATCCTTAGTTGTGGCACACGGGACTTCTTAGTTGCGGCATGTGGGATCTAGTTCCCCGACCAGGGATCGAACCCAGGCCCCCTGAATTGGGAGTGCAGTGTCTTACCCACTGGACCACCAGGGGAGTCCCTCCCAGATTATTCTGATAAGGACTTTTTAAAAAAACAAAACTATATGGGAAAATGGTGCTCTGAATGCAGCATTTTGCATCTGTCAGTAAACAGGGAGCAAGCCAAAATGACAGTGACCCAGCCGCAGGCTCTTTAGTTCAAAAGGAAGATGGGGGACTTCCCTGGTGGCACAGTGGTTAGGAATCCACCTGCCAATGCAGGGGACACAGGTTCGATCCCTGGTCCAGGAAGATCCCACATACTACGGGGCAGCCAAGCCCGCATGCCATAACACTGAGCCCACGCGCTCTAGGGCCTGCGTGCTGCAACTACTGAGCCTGCGTGCTGCCACTACTGAAGCCTGCGTGCCTAGAGCCTGTGCTCCACAACGAGAAGCCACTGCAATGAGAGGCCCACGCACTGCAACAAAGAGTGGCCCCCACTCGCCGCAACTAGAGAAAGCACGTGTGCAGCAACGAAGGCCCAACGCAGCCAAAAAATATATATAAATAAATAAAAAGAAACTTTATATAAAAAAAAGGAAGATGGGATTTCTTCCCACTTCCCTAGCTCATAATCCATTTATGCTTTGGAGCTTGAGAACTGATTGCAATGGTAATTTTAGTTCAGCAAGCACACTGCAACTGTCATTCATTCCGATAGAAGATCTATGTTTGTTTGAAAGAGGGTGGGGAAGTTTAAGTCTGACACATGATAATTGATTCATGTGAATTTGCTGGAATAATTCGGTGCTTGCCAACATTTCAGACCCTGCTGGTAATCATGTGACTACCTCTGTAAAGCTTTAGAGCCAAGGCTGAAATATGTTACTTAAAAACCAGGGCTCTGTCAAATACATCTGGTGATCTTCATTCCTAACAGCATCTTTCCATGCTATTTATTAAAATGGTATCTATGATTTTCCCCCCCCTCTCTCAAAATTTCCTCAAGGATCTTTTTTGTTTTTGTTCTTCAGTTTATAGGTTATGCAGGGGGAGTGATCACAGTGGAATTTCTTTTCTCAGTAAAAAAGTAAAACACCTACAGAATAAAACCCAAAGTCAATGAACTCAAGAATTCTGACTCTCACTCAGCCTCTCCCCAAATTCCACTGCAGAACCTATTCTCCCCAGGACTGCTCCTCATTCCTTGAACGTGCCCTAATCCCCTGGCTCCGTGTCTTTCCTGATGCAATTTCCTCTGCTGGGAATATTCCCTTCCTTTCCACCTCCCACATCTCCACTTGTGGAAATTCTACTGGTCCTTCAAGTCCAGCTTCCAGCCTCTTCCCCATGAAGCAAATCCGTTGGTCCCACAGCTCATGGTACCTCTTCTGTCATACTGATCACGTTTTGCCCAACACACAATAAACACTCTTCACAATAAACACTCTTCAACCCAGTGTCTCCAGATCCTAGGACACTTCCTGATAAATGCTGGGGAACTGAACCAACTCCAAACAAAATTCGCTGAACTTATTTTGGTCCAAATCAGACAAAAAGGACCACTTCACTGAAAATTGAAAGGCAGGGACTTCCCTGGTGGCGCAGTGGTTAAGAATCCGCCTGCCCATACAGGGGACACGGGTTTGATCCCTGGTCCAGGAAGATGCCATATGCCACGAAGCAACTAAGCCCGTGTGCCACAACTACAGAGCCTGCGCTCTAGAGCCCACGAGCCACAACTACTGAGCCCACATACCACAACTACTGAAGCCCATGCGCCTAGAGCCCATGCTCCGCAACGAGAAGCCACCACAATGAGAAGCCCGTGCACTGCAGCAATGAAGAGCAGCCCCCACTCGCCCAACCAGAGAAAGCCCACACGCAGCAACGAAGACCCAACACAGCCAAAAAATTAATTATTTACTTTAAAAAAGAAAGAAAGAAAATTGAGAGGCAGGACATTACACCATCTGCCACCAAATTGTAAAAGGAGGACATATATGCGTCTCATCATTAACAAGCAACTTTGGAGAAGACACCTCTCTGGTATCCTTATCAGTAAAAGGATGATAAACAACTAGAACAAGGGAAGGAGCACAGAAGAGTGAGACGCTTTTGGTCCGGTCTGGGCTCTGCCTCTAACTCACTTTCTGTCTTTCCGTCTATTATGTCTGTAATTTCTCCACATGGGGGAAAAAAAGAGAGAGATCACTGTGTTGTTTGGATCTCTACTCCGGTATCCTCTAAATGGCCCTAAAATTCTTAAGACTCTAATCTTACTATCGCAAGGTTGCAGGAAAAACAAACCAACAAAAAAGAGACCATAATATAGTTAACCTGTATCGAACACTTAGGAGGTGCCAGGCACTGTGCTAAGCACTTAACTTCCCTCACCTCTCAACAATACCCGGACACACCCACTTCTATTATTGCCATTTCAGATGCCAAAGGTGAGATGCAAAAAGGTTGTCTTTTGTCCCAAATCACAGAAGTAGCCCAGAGGGGGAGTTAGAACCAAGGGCTTTTATTGACTCCAGAGCTTGAGCTCTTAACTCTTTCCTTAGATAGCGGTCATAAAATATAAAGCTTGAGATGGGGATAGGAAAAAGCAGGCCACGTCTGGGTGTCTGAGGCTGAGAGCCCCCTCGCAGCCAAGTGGGATAGGAACCCGTCCCCATTCCACAGGAAAAGGTCACAAAGATCCACCAAATAAAGCTGACATTGCTGTGCACAGTCAGAGCTCCTGTTCAAAGCTTTAAGAGTTCCTCAAATTAAACTCTGGAAAAAAATTACAAAGGGATAAAAGATGAGTTTCCGGTTTTCTCCCTCACCTGCATGCTCTATCAATACTAAATACCAAGAGAAGAGCGGGCTTCACAGCTTCTCGTTAATCTTTCTAGGTGTATTTCCTCCGTTGCAACATTGCATTGAGATTTTCGACCACCATCTCTCTGGATGTTTAGATTCTCGTCATTACTTCATAAACGGAGATGGGATGTGAGAGATGAATCGTCGGGGGTGGAGGTGAGTGGGGCAATGAACTATTAAAGACAGAAGTGTGGAAAGTGAAAAAGCACTGGATTGGGAGTCAGAACACCCAGGTGTGAGACCTAGTGTTAGCTTCGGCAAAATTTAAATCACCTGTTAAATGTTGCTAAGTGCCTCTTCACCGCGTTTTTTTGTGAAGATGAGAGAAGGTAGTGTCTTTGAAAGAGCTTTCTAATTATAAATTATTATACAAATAAAAGCTATTCTTGGGATTCCCTGGTGGCGCAGTGGCTGGGAGTCCGCCTGCCGATGCAGGGGACGCGGGTTCGTGTCCCGGTCCGGGAGGATACCGCGTGCCGCGGAGCGGCTGGGCCCGTGAGCCATGGCCGCTGAGCCTGCGCGTCCGGAGGCTGTGCTCCGCAACCGGAGAGGCCACGGCAGTGAGAGGACCGCGTACCACAAAAAAAAAAAAAAAAAAAAACTATTCTTAAGCAAACAAACAAAGCACTAGTCCCCGGCTGAGCCTGCAGAACGGAACAACCGGTGCTTCCCACCAGGTGTGAAGCAAAATGAAGATTGGCGCCCAGAGCCGTCCGAGCACGCGCAGTGAGGCCGTGGACGCTAACGCGGAAGTCTCCGTGAAAAAGTCTATACTTCCGATCCGCTCCCCCCGCCCCGCAGCGCCTACGTCTCGGCCGCCGGCCCTCAGGGCTGCCTTCCCCAGCCCGTCACCATCTGAGGGAGCACAGGACGGAAGGGGCCATCCTACCAACCCAGCTGTCGCCCCCGCTCCCGGCAACACAACCCCAAAAGGTCCCCCTTTGCCCGCTTTCAACATGGCGGCCCACCCACGCGCCGACATACCGTCCAGGCCGAATTCCCTCGTCCTTCTCGCCAGGGTGGGCCCTACTCCCACCAAACCGCTCCCGCGCTCACCTCAGCAAGGCTCGGGTTTCCTTTCCCACGGGGCCTGGTGCCGAGCCCGAAGCGACGGAAGATTCTTCCTCCTTGACTGACAGGACCTTTACATTGGAAGTAGCAGATTCGTCACGGGCCCTGTTTCCGTTTTTGCTTTTATTTTAAGAAATTTAATCACATGCCTTGAGCATCGACTGCATATCGTCTCCGAAGAGAATGAACTTTCCGTTTCTGTAAAATTTTTCACGAAGACAGAAACTGCTAAATTGAACAAAAGTTGAAAGACGATCGAATGTGCAGCTAGTTGTCTGGGAGCCGCTGGATTTCTCTCCGTAGCAAAGAGGTGTTTCAGCGCGATGCGAGTTTTAGTTCTTAGCCTCACGTTGAGAATTTGATTAATATTGTGGGGTTTTTTTAGTCAGAAAATGCGTATTCCGGTTCACAAGGAAACTTTGTACGTATGTTTTGCCAGAGTTTTTCTAACCCGTAAATTTAACACGTTCGTTTTCCACACAAGCAAAATAGTTCTTCACAGTTTGGAGACTTTGACTTAAGAATCGCGCGGAAGCTGGTTTAAATGCCGTTTTCTGGGCCCCGCAGGGAATCAGTGAATTCAGAACCGCTGAAAATTTGCAATTTTTTGCAAGTCCCCAAATGACTCTTAGAGGACCCCTGCCTTTAGAGTCACGGTTAAGAAGCCCAGATTTAAAACCTAAGCGTGGGAGGGAGAGGGGAGAACCGTGTGGTCAGTAAATCTGTGTAGAACGGGTAGATGTATGCATTCAGATTATGCTGTGTTTCTTTTTTGTTAGGTCAAAATATTCGGGTAGATTACGACTTGTGGTACAACTTGAAATGTCTTGATACAGTTGTGCTTTTCATGATGAGTCTCGTGATTTCTTCAGCCACTCATTTTCTGATTAATTCTTACAAGTGGATCATTTCTGCGAACAGCTGATCTCATTTTGATTCCAGTCCTATTCTTAGAAGGTAAGCCAATGACCAGCTACTAAGGATGTATTACTGCTACCTAGTTTTTATCAAATCTTTATTATGTAGGTGAAGCATAGGTTCTGAATATCTATAGCTTTCTTTAAAGTACGTTCTCTTGAAATATATTAATAAAATGTATTGAGTAAAAAAGTGAGCAATATCTACAGTTTAAAATTTCATATTGAGGACTTCCCTGGTGGTGCAGTGGTTAAGAATCCACCTGCCAATGCAGGCGACACGGGTTCGATCTCCTGGTCCAGGAAGATCCCACATGCCGCAGAGCAACTAAGCCCGTGCACCACAACTACGGAGCCTGCGCTCTAGAGCCCGCGAGTCACAACTACTGAGCCCGTGTGCCACAACTGCTGAAGCCTGGGTGCCTAGAGCCCGTGCTCCGCAACAAGAGACACCACCATAATGAGAAGCCCGAGCACCACAACTAAGAGTAGCCCCCCTCACGGCAACTAGAGAAAGCCCGCACTCAACAACGAAGACCCAGTGCAGCCAAAAATAAATAAACTTATATTTAATTAATTAATTAATTAATTAATTTTTAAAAAGAAATATTGTGGTCCCAGTATCTCTGCTCTGCTGGCTTATCAACGGAAGGCTTCTGGGAAAAGTGCATCCACAGCATGAATGCTGCTGCAGAGTCTGAAGGTGCTGCAGACATCTTTTAATATGCTTGGTGGCCTCTTGAAGGGTCATCTGAAAGGCATCTCCATGACTGCCACATCTATATCATTAAAGTTTAATTATATACAAAATTACTTATATAACAAAATACTTTATAAACCAAGCAGAAGATCTGAAGGGCACCGTGAGCAACCCTACTAGAGATTTCTATAGAAGTTTCATATTAATACAATCTTTTTTTCCTTTTTCCAGTTTTATTGACATACAGCACTATATAAGTTTAAGGTGACTTACATACATCATGATATGATTACCACAGTAAGTTTAGTGAGCATCTGTCATCTCGTATGGGTACAAAATAAAAGAAATAGAAAAAAATTTTTTTCCCATACAGCAGTGTTAAAAAGATATCATATCATACATTACATCCCTAGTACTAATTTATAACTGGAAATAAGTACCTTGTGACTGCTTCCATCCATTTCCCCCACCCCCAGGCCTCACCTCTGGGAACCACAAATCTGATCTCTTTTTCTATGAGTTTGTTTGTTTGTTTGTTTTGAAGTATAACTGACCAACAACACTATGTTAGCTCCCGGTGCACAATATTATGATTTGATATTTCTGTACATTTCAAAATGATCACCACCACACTAATACCATCTTAAAACAAACATTTAGCATCACCTGCCAGACACTGGGCTAAGCTCACTTCACTCTCTCAACAACTCTTTGCAGAGTATATTGTTACCTTCCAGGGTGGAACAGAGCTGGCCTGGAGAGTAGGGTGGAGGCCATTAGTCCCTTGGCCATAGTCTCCTTTAATGCTTCCCTCACCCACCTACACCGCCTCCCCCCACACACACCCCACCCTCCCACTCATCACCCTGAATAAACATTTCACCTAAGTTTAAAAACAAAAAAGTGTGCTGTTATGCAAACACCGACTGAAAACAAGTGCTCTGGGCACCACCCTTCCTGCAACCAAATTCTTTTCTAAAGACTTTCAGCTCCTAGAACTGAAGTCACTGACCCAGGTTTGCAGGCATTTAAGCCAAGAGAGAACAGGAAGAAAGGCATACTGAATGTACCACTCAGGAAATTAATGGTGCCACCAGTATTCAGAAGAGCATGAGACCTACTCTGCTTGATGTACCAAAATAGGACCACCAGATATTTGCTAATGGAACTTTCCTATGGGTGGAATTAACCCCCAAACACTTATGGTTCCATTTTTATGAAGCATGACCCACCCACTACTTTTGTTTCCCACGTCATGTTTTCCTTTGTTTAACCGTGAGTTGGACGATACCTTACTTTATGCTCCTTCTTTTTTTTTTTTTTTTTTGCGGTACCCGGGCGTCTCACTGCTGTGGCCTCTCCCGTTGTGGAGCACAGGCTCCGGACGCGCAGGCTCAGCAGCCATGGCTCACGGGCCCAGCCGCTCCGCGGCATGTGGGATCCTCCCGGACCGGGGCACGAACCCGCGTCCCCTCATCGGCAGGCGGACTCTCAACCACTGCGCCACCAGGGAAGCCCCACTTGGACTTTTTAAAAAGCTTTGTTGTAGACATATTCTATGTGTGTTACTGATCCAGCTTTTCATATCTTGTTCCCAAATAATCATATGAACTTGGGGAGTTTCTCATACTTTATATTCTGGAAATAAAGTAGTTTATAAGAGTCATAGTAATAATAATAGCCAACATGTATTGAGCACTTACCATGTGCCAGACGCTGTTCTAAAGCACTTCACGACAATCTTATAAAGTGGCTTCTATCCTTACCCCCATTTGATAGCTGGGAAGACTGAGCCCCAGAGAAGTAATTTCCTTGCCTAAGATCACACAGCTTGCAAGTGACAGAACCAATCAGGATTTGAACAGTTGTGGTCTGGTCTAGAATCCACCTCGAACACTGGTATCACTCATACTTTTTCAAATTTCAGGGTGCATGTGCATCAGAATTACCTAGAGGGCTTGTTAAAACACAGATTGGGGCTTCCCTGGTGGCGCCTGCCGATGCAGGGGACGCGGGTTCATGCCCCAGTCCGGGAAGAACCCACATGCCGCGGAGCGGCTGGGCCCGTGAGCCATGGCCGCTGAGCCTGCGCGTCCGGAGCCTGTGCTCCACAACGGGAGAGGCCACAGCAGTGAGAGAGAGGCCCGCATACCGCAAAAAAAAAAAGCAGATTGCTGGGGCCCACCCCCAAAGTTTCTGATTCAGTGGGTCAAGAATTTGCATTTCTGAAAAGTTTCCAGGTGATGCTGATGCTGCTGGTCTCGGAAACACACTTTAAGAACCTCTGCTGGGTGAAAAAAGAAACAGGCCCCAAACGGAATCACTTGTGCTAAACCCCACGGCAGCAAAGTAAAACTTAATATATAACTTCAGTTTCAGCCTCTCCCAGGGGTGGAATTTTAAACCAATCAGTCTGGAATTTCCTGATCATCCCTAGTGAGGTAATCTGCTTGATAGACTCCCCACCTTTACCCCCAAGGGAAGGTGACCTTACCTGAAATGATCCTTTCTTTTGTTTATGACTTCCTTGTCTTGTCCCCCTTTTCTGCCTTTAAAAACCTTCCATTTGTACAGCTCCTCTGAAGCTCTTTTCTACTTGCTAGATGAGATGCTGCCCAATTCATGAATCGTCAAATAAAGCCAAGGAGATCTTCAAATACACTCAGTTGAATTTTTTTTTAATATTTATTTAGGGGCTTCCCTAGTTCAGTGGTTAAGAATCCGCCTGCCAATGCAGAGGACACGGCCAGTTATTTCATCACGTGAGTTGTCAGACATTGTTTCTGACAATGCGCTTGCGATTTCTTCACCTGCGTTGATGATATTTACCAACAGGAATTTTATCCAAGCTGTACAATTATTGTACTAGATTATCATGGAAAAAATATCCAGATCATCATAGGAAAAATACAGCAGTGATAAAAACACCCAGAGAAGGTACAGAAGAACAAAAGGAGAATACACTGACATTATTTTATTCCCTAATATTTATCAAGCCTGCTTGAGAACACACTTGAATCAAAATGAGTGCTACCTGAGACAGGCACACTTGCTCTAAAATGGCTGGATACAGTAAGTCCCCTACATACGAACCTTCAAGTTGGGAACTTTCAAAGTTGTAACGTGTGTTCGCATGTCCAATCACGTAAGTTAGGTCATGTGAAAGTGCAGCTTGCCCTCCGTCTCCTATTGCTGACAATCCTTCAGCTCTACCCTCTCCCACCTCCTCTCCCCGCTCCAGTCAGTAACTCTTCTTACCTGCTCACTCGATGCCAGCCCCTGTATGCCAGCTGTTGTGCTGTACTATTCAAGATACTGTACTCTAAGATTAAAAATGTTTTCTTTATTTTTGTGTGTTTTTTATGTATTATTTGTGTAAAAAGTATTATAAACCTATTACAGTATAGTAGTATATAGCTAATTGTGTTAGTTGGGTACCTGGGCTAACTCTGTTGGACTTACAAACAAATTGGACTTACAAACGCGCTCTCGGAACAGAACTCATTCATATGTAGGGACTCACTGTAATTTTCTCCAGGAGTCTTCCAATGCATGATTCCCAGAGAATCACTTCATAATTTAACCTGCCTTTAGGCTTTTGTTGAATTTTTTTGTTTTATTTTTTATTTTCTGAGAAATGTGAAACACAGGACAATTATTGGAATAATTGCCATACTGCTTTCCAGGATAAATCTAGTTCAATCCATCCACCCCCTTCAAGACAAGAATTTTAGGAACCTTCTTTATATAGAACAGAAAAGAAGGCTGTTTGAGTAGAGATGGCCTCTCCCCCAGGGAATACCTCCCTTCCCCACTCATGGGCAACATGTATAATGGTTATGAGAATTCACTCTGAAATTAGAATGCTTGAGTTTGGATCCCAGCTCTGATGCTGAACAGCTGTGTGAACTAATTTATGTAATCTCTCTGTGCAACTGTGACTTCAAATCTTTAAAAACAAAATAAAAAATGGTGGTCACTAGAGATATTAAGGTTTAGTCCATTTGATACAGGTGAGCTAAGACAGATAGGCTTTCAGTTACCTTCCACTGCTCTCAGTAGTGCAGAAATTCAAGTGTCTTTGAGTCCTAACACAAGCTACAAAACTATAACAATCTAATTTGGGTGCCCGAAGCTGATCTATTGTACCGTCTCTCCTTTTTCAAACAATCTCAAACCGAGTGGAAATACAGACTACTCTGATCTATGTTCTTCTTCCTTTCCAATTATCTGTCCTCTCCACTATGAACATCCCTGTCATTGACCCCACTGTTTTTCACCAACCAATACAAATTAGGCTATTATGTACCAATCACTTCTGAATTCAAAATGAAGGCTGGAACACCGTCTTCCATGGGTAATGAGAAAGTGAACAACCAAAGCAACATTACAGGTTTCATACATAGTTCTTTCATGTGCTGCATTGCTCAGAGGGAGAAAAATGGTGCTTAGCATTCAATCTCATAAAGTTTCTGCTTCTAAGAACATTAGTGAGGGATATAAACATTCAATGCACTTTAGAAATACAATTCAACCACGCATTACTTGCACAATAGCTTACATCAAATCTATAATCATGTATTGCACAATAACCTAACAAAAGTGAAACTCCTTTTGTAAAAAAATTTAGTTGAGTAATTTACCAGATGCCCCAAATTAGAAAATGTGTGTTACTCAGTAGAAGGTTCTTGTACCTGCCTTGAGGCCCATCTACTTGAACGCTGGTGCTCAGCAGATAAAACAAATTCAATCTTTACTGAAGTTTTTCCAAAATATAAAAAGGTGATTTTATTCATATTCTCAAAAATACTTTTTTTTTTTTTTTATGGCTGTGTTGGGTCTTCGTTGCTGTGCGCGGGCTTTCTCTAGTTGTGGTGAGCAGGGACTACTCTTCGTCGCGGTGTGTGGGCTTCTCATTTCGGTGGCTTCTCTTGTTGCGGAGCACAGGCTCTAGGCGCGCAGGCTTCAGTAGTTGTGGCTCGCGGGCTCAGTAGTTGTGGCTCACGGGCTCTAGAGCGCAGGCTCAGTAGTTGTGGCTTAGTTGCTCCGCGGCCTATGGGATCTTCCCCGACCAGGGCTCAAACCCGTGTCTCCTCCATTGGCAGGAGGATTCTTAACCACTGCGCCACCAGGGAAGTCCCTAATTTATTTATTTTTTACTTTTTTGGCTGCATCAGGTCTTAGTTGTGGCACATGGGATCTTCGTTGAGGCATGCAGGAGCTTTTGTTGCAGTGTGCAGGCTTCTCTCTAGTTGTGGTGTGAGGGTTTTCTCTCTCTAGTTGTGGTGCTCCGGCTCCAGAGCATGTGAGCTCTGTAGTTTCCAGCACGCGGGCTCTCTCGTTGAGGTGCATGAGCTCAGTAGTTGTGGCGCGTGGGCTCAGTTCCCCAACCAGGAATCGAACCCGTGTCCCCTGCATTGGAAGGTGGATTCTTTACCACCGGACCACCAAGGAAGTCCCAAAAGATAATTTTACTTAAGTCAAACTGAGGATTATAACCCAAGAGACAGACTCTCAGAAGCTCTGAGAACTGTTCTGCCTATTAGAAGTCAAAGACACAGTCATAAGCCTTTTTGAGACAAAGGATCATACATCAAAATGACATACTGACATTTTACATAAACTTCACCAAAGATACAGAGTCCAGGTAAGCAAGCAATTAAGTCACCATGACTCCCTACAGAGTTTGGAAAGAGTTCTAATCTTTTAAGCGGTTACATTGCTAGCATCAGAAGAAAGGGAAAAAAAAGTTGACCTTTGTGGTCAAGCAGGCATTCCCACCTTTGAGGAGGTCTGGTTAATGTATAATGCAAATGTACATTGCACATGAGAGAGGGAGGGAGGAGGCCCAAATGGACAGAGAGAGAATTTTATGTTTACATTTTCTTGTCCTGCCTTAAAATATAAATTTTATTTCATCAATGTAGTCCAGTTTATCTATTTTTTTCTTTTGTTTCTTTTTCTGTGTTTTTTAAAAACTCATTGCCAAATCCATTGACATAAAGCTTTTCCACTATGTTTTCTTCTTAGCGTTTTATAGCTTTAGGCCTTTGATCCATTCTGAGTTAATTTATGTATATGGTGTAAGGTAAGGTACGTCACACTTTTGCATGTGGGTATCCAATTTTCCCAACACCATTTGTTGAAAAAACTATACTTTCCCCAGTGTACAGTCTTGGCACCCTTGTTGAAAATAATTTGACCGTGTTTGTGAGGGTTTCTTTCTGGACCCTCTATTCCTTCATTCCTTTTTATGAGTGAATAATAGTCCATTGTATGGATATACCATATTATACTTATGGTAAGTCTAATATTTCTCCATATTTAATCACAGGGTGTTGTCAGGTCTGTGGATGACTGAGCCCTTGCCTGGGGCCTTGTTTGATCATTAAAACACTGTACCATTGTACCATCTGAAATTAGTGTCTGTTTTGTTTGTTTGCTTTTTGTTTGTTTGTTTATCCTTGTCCACTCTCCATTTTGACTCCACAGCTTCACTGTGGAGAAAATCTGGTACACCTACCACGAAGAAGACTGCCAATACATTCCTGGGAAAGACAAGCTCCATTGCTGGATTGTCTGCCTATGACTATTACAAACCCTGAATTAAATCTAAAATAACCCGTTTTGTAATCCACACTGCTAATATTCTCAGTCATACCCTGTGTAGCTGCAGAATGTTTTCTAATTTCAAAGCGATGATTTTTGTCTTATCTATTACTCCTCCCTCCCCAACCCAAGTGCCAAGCGCCTGGCACACAAGCTTAGTGTTTGTTGGAGGGAAGAATCCAGAATACCCGCTAACATTTTTTTTTTTTTTTTTTTTGCGGTATGCGGGCTTCTCACTGTTGTGGCCTCTCCCGTTGCGGAGCACAGGCTCCGGACGCGCAGGCTCAGCGGCCATGGCCCACGGGCCCAGCCACCCCGCGGCAGGTGGGATCCTCCCGGACCGGGGCACGAACCCGCGTCCCCTGCATCGGCAGGCGGACTCTCA